AGGATGAATTAAGGCTCTCCACATATTTTGTAATATTATATGATCTGGGCCGGAAGCCCATGGATCCAAATATATAAGAGATCCCAAACCTGAAGTTTTGGGTATATAGTAGTTAATGCTCTTCACTACTATATTGCAATATTATCATGGCTTTTACTCAATTCATATTTCATGCCCATTTGAAAAGGGCAAATAAATTCTGAGGTCGTGTTTTAGCCCGGGCCAGAAGTTCCAGACTCACATGCATTGAAATATGTAACTTGAGAGATTTGTTGTGGTTATTTGAACCTATAAGGCAAAAGGTTCCAAACCGTCATTTTGAAAAAACGTAAAAACCATAGGTGCAAGTTTAAAAATTTGCCCAATTATTATAACAGATAAGGAGCATACAACAGATAGATTTTCTTCACCTGCAAGAAAGGAGCAGGTTCTGTAAAATCTATAAAATTCCATTATGTTCTGGAATAGATTTTCTTCACCTGCAAGAAAGGAGCAGGCTCTGTAAAATCTATAAAATTCCATTATGTTATGGAAGCCTCTGCAGGAAGAGGACGACGCCTCTTAAGCTTAGCCATGAGTCTTTCATGGTCTTCCAGAATCTTTTCATTGGAAATCTGCAGCATGTCAAGCCTTGTCTGCGTATCAGCGGAGTATGAACTCACTAGTTTCAACAAGGCATTATTCTCTTCTTTAAGTTTCTCAACCTCCTGTTGAGACTCATGAAGTTTTCTTTGAAGAGACGAATTTTCAGTGTTCAGCTCCTGAATCTCGTTTGCTCTAACACGCAAACGATTAGCCAAGTTAGAAACAGAAGCAGCACTCTGAATGCTAAAAGCCAGTGAGTCATCAATGGCCACTTCTTCATACCTCCATGTTAACAACATGTCATCCATAGGAATAAGGAAATTCCTAGCTAGTGTGACAGCAGTCAAATCATTCATCATCACAGAATCATTAACCGTGAGATGACGGTTTTGGGATACAAAGGATGGCCGCCAAACTTTGGCGTCACTGGTTGTTTTGGGATCAACATTTAAATCGAAATGTTTTGGGCGAGAAGAAGAGGAAGCCATTTTAAGAAGGTTTTGGGGAAAGCCTTAGAAAAACTGAACTTTCAAAGAATGAAAGGGAATTGAATTGAAACTCAGTTACTCTAATCAGATCTTGCAAAGGCAATATCTATAGGTGGAAATGTGGCACCGTTTCCAGGATCCCAATATTTCCCCGGATCCCTATATTCTTTTTTTTTTCTTTCCCAGGTTCCAAAACTTCACGCGGCCTCCATTAATGTCTGTCGGCACTTTCGGCGTTTTCCAGGATTATTTTCGTCAAAACCGATCTTACTTTGCGGATTTCACGGAGTTACTTTTTCAAAGAACCCCGAGAACTTCACAAATTTCTGTGGTTAATTTGAAATTCACCAGATTTACTTATTCCCCTTATTTGTGTATAAATATGTTACTAACGAAATTTTCTTTGCAGAATACACTCAGTTTCCTCCAATTTTCTCCATATCCAATGGTGCAATATCCACTTGCTTTTCATATCAGTGAGCACTCGATATGCTTGAGAAGCGAGACTATCTCTGATCATCCATTCAAGAAGCGAGACTATCCCTGATCACGTTTCCGCTACATCAGGGAGCTGCAAGAATGACCACATGCTCTGATCTCCTGGAGTTCTTCTAGGCTAGGAGAAATGAGAGTTTGTTGTCTGTTCCCACCAGCTTCCTTCCTTGATTGCTTACCTTACCTTGCAATCAATATCACAATTTTTGTATCTTTTCTTTCTTTTTATATCTCTCG